ACTGAACTCCCTCTTGAAAACTTGTAAGCCAGTCACTTCATGCCTTTATTGCCCCCTCATTTTAGGTAGCAAATGTCGTAACTTGCCTGTCCTATCTACCCTGTATACAGAGGGGCTAGTATTGATACTTTATGTGAAGACTCCTTTCCTCTCTGTTGGTATTTTGAGTATGGGTCAAGTTCATCAAGTTGTAGCAATTTATCCTCATTTCCTTTATCAAAAATTTTTTTTTGTATCCTCCTTTAGTGAGTTCTGATTATCAAGCCATCAAGGCTAGGTCAGTTGGGTACTATCTGCAAGTGTGGATGTTCTTGTATATCTCCCCTCACTTCATATCAGCTGGATGCTTCACTCTTAGCTCTAGCCCTCACTATGTCCTTATTGATGGGCTCAGGTGTCCCCAGGTCTCACACAACCAGTCCTTCCTCTTCTCTCTCTCATCTCCAGGTCAACAGGAGACTATGGAATGTCATTGAACTCAGCCCATTTCTTCATTACTACCTTTCCCTCTCTACCACTCACCAGTAGACCAATGTGGTCACCAGCAAGCTTATATGCCTACTCATGTGTTCCCTTTGCATTTCAGTCTTGGCGGGGGGAGTATTGCGGTTATTGTTATTTTTTATTTAATCTGAGAATGCTCACACCTTTTTCCAATATAAATGAACAGTAATTACTGTTTTGTTTCACACCATTTTGATTTATCTGAAGGTTTCATAATAACACTTTACTTTTGGTTAGTGGAAGAAACCTATACGTACATTCTGTTAGAGAATTGGGGTTAAGCAACTGAAGTATTACTATCCCTGCAGTTATATGATTATTTGAAAAAATAAAACACATTTATTGAAGGAAAAATATTTTTAGTGAATCCTTAAATCACCACACTTCTTTGCTGCTGCTGCTGAGTGGGTATGCCTGTTGGGTGATGCTCATTGCAACCTAAATGCCACCTTTCCTGTTCCACATGGAGTTTTTCTTGGTGGTTGTATTTTTATTATGGCAATGGCTGCACCTTAGACTTGGGAAGATATGGCCTTGTCAGAATGAACATAGTGTAGGCTGACTTAGAAGGTTTGGATGGCCTGTGGTCAGAGTTCCCACTGTGTCCTGCCAAGCTTGTTGGGGCATTCGGGGAGACTCACCTGGGGAGCCACAGTGTTCACCTTTCATACCTCTTCATCTGTTTTTTAGTCCTCTCAATTGGAAACATGCTAGGGTTTCTACTGGGGAGTAGGTGTTGAGTCAGGCAGCTTGCTGTGGGATGGAAGCAGGAAGTGAGGTTCCCTTCCTGGCCCTTGGCTACCAGACAGCTCTTTCCGCAGTGTGTAGTGGCTCAGTCTCTTAGCCATAGATCAGTATGAAATCCAAGTAACATCTTTGGATCATGTAGATTTGTCTGCTCTGCCCTAAGATTCCAGTCAGTCCCGTTTTTCCTTTTGTCTGCAGGTGGATCTGTGTAGGGGTCAATGTTGTTAACCAAGTGCCTCCTGATCTTGAGTCATTTTATGGCACCCACTGTGTGTGGGGAATGCAGGAGTGGATTGAAGATGGATTGGCTCCCAGACCTGTGTATAGACGAGGTTGGGCGAGGTCAGACCTCTGCAGGGAGGTGCTGGAGGACCAGTGTGGGGAGGAAGAGTGCAGGCAGCCATGAGGGCTACGGAGCCAATTTCTTTGGTACTCAGAGTTTGTAATATAAATAAAGGCCTGCTCTGGTGAGCTGGGGGAGAGCTCACATAAATAAGGAGCAGAGCCTCCGTAAAAGTCCTCGGACTCTCCGATAGAGCTTCTCACCAGGCATCTCTTATCTTGGCTCTACAGTAAACTAACCATTCTGTTGCCTTCCCTTGTGTTCTGGCTTTTGGAGGTTTCCTAAGGCTCTCTCTTGCCTGCACATGTTGGAGTGCTAAGCCACAAGTTGCAAGCTTCCTGGTTCAGCAGCATGGTTGCCACTGAGAGGCCTATCCAGGTGGGACAGTCAGCTCAGGCCCAGATTGGACCAACTGGAGGGGTCCTAGGCATGGCATGCTTTCCTTTGGTTCCATCTCCATTGTCTGGCAACTCTACACATAGGCTTAGATGACGTATCTTCTTTTGTGTGTTCAGCTGTCTCCTAAGAGGAATTTATTTTGTCCCCTGGAGCCACCTCTTCTGTCCAGTATGCATCAGTTGTGTCTTTGGATTTGAACTGACTTGTTAAGGGCCATCCAGTTGATTCCAACTCACAGTGGTCCTGTATATAAACACTGCTCAGTCCTGTGCCATCCTCAGTGTCGTGGCTGTGTTTGAGCTCTTGTTGCAGCCACTTCGTCAATCCAACTTGAGGGTTTTCCTCTTTTCTTTTGCCCTCTACTTTACCAAGCATCATGTCCTGCTGGTTTTGGTCCCTCCTGATTACATGTCCAAAGTACAAGAGACCAAGTCTTGTCACCCTCATTTCGAAGGAGCATTCTGGCTATGCTTTTTTTCAAGACAGGTGGTTGTTCTGGCAGTCCATGGCATGTCTAGTACTCTTTGTCACTTCTTCAGTCTTCCTTATCCACTGTCCAGCTTTCACATTCCATTGAGGATGAGGCAGTTGAAATAACCATGGCTTTTGGGTCAGTTGGACCTTAATCTTCAAGGTGACATCTTTGCTTTTTTAATACTTTAAAAAGGTCTTTTGCTGCAAGTTTACCCAATACAATGTGCCATTTGGTTTCTTGACAGTTAACTTCCATGGGCATTGATTTGTAAACCCAAGTAAAATGAAATCCTTGACAACATCAGTCTTTTCTCTAGCCATGGCACTTCTTTCTAGGCCCATGTGGCAGGTAGTTCTGGCCAAACTTTTACCAGAAATGTTCATGATAGGAGAGAGCAATTTTTGTGTCCCCAAGCCTGGTGCAGGCCACTCTGGTCACAGGCGTCTAATCCGTCGTCACCGACTGTGTCTGCTTATACACTAATGGTGTCTGTTGGTGCTTCATCTTCTAGGTTATTCTCTTCTTAGCTCTTTTCCCAAAGAACGAAGGTAAAAGGCCACACATAAATAAACTCATTTTTACCATTCACACTGGTTCAACATCACAGCCACACACCAGCCTCCAAGACAGAGGTGTGGCGACGACTGCCTGTGAGGTTCATTGGCTTGGAGTTAAATTGAGCTCTCCAGAATGGGAATTGAGAATTCAGCCACTGATTCTGGTCCTGGGTGACCTTGCTAATTACAAAGTCATCGGTTCAAACCCACCAGTCGCTCTTCTGAAACCCTATACAGGGTCACTGTGAGTCGGAACCAACTCCATGGCACCTAACAATAAGCACTGTACCACCACCACCAGTGCCCCCGCTGGGGAAGGCCAGCACTTCCTTTTAAAGTGAGCCAGGACACTGTTCTCATGAGCAGTCTATGAGAAGTACATCACAACCTGCTTCTTTCTGTGGTTACTGTTCAGCTCTGAGCTGAATTCACACCGGGCCACCTTTAGAGTCCTGCACATGCAACTCGGAGACTGCTACCACCTAGGGTTTCCCTGTGGTAGATTACCCATGGGCTGAGACGGTGGAGGGTCATGAAGGAATTCATCAGCACCAAGGGCATGTCTCTCAAGTCACCTGGAGTCTGAAGATGACCTGGGGATGGAGGGCACCTATTTATGTCTCACATCTGGGCAAAAGCACACTGCTAGGCTGGGCCTGTGTTGTGGCCTTCTTGAACACTTCCCAATGTTAAACCACACGAAGAAGGTCAAACTTACCTATCCCTGGAGTCCTGCCTCCTGAAATTAACCTCTTTCCCCACCCACATCCTTTCCTGATTCCTTGGTCACTGAGGATGGCACAGGACTGGGCAGTGTTTATATACAGAAGGGCTCTTACCCACTGAACTTCTGGTTTCTTTCTAAGGGTGCTCGTTAAGCGCAGACAGCCCCAGCTCACTGTTGTCTGCCTACTGCTGGGATGTATTTTAACATGGACCTGTGGCGCTTCATTCTTACTGGTAGAACAGTGGCACAACAGACAGTACACAGATGGAGCAAGTGGCCACACACTTATAATTGGGTGGCCTCTGCCTGCTCCTGAGACTAGCTGTTTGTTGCCGGGGCCATGTGGCAGTAAAAGAGCCCCTGAACAGGGTGTACATCAGACACAGACTCTGCAGGCAGGGCTGGTTGTGAGCATTGTCTCTCCATGGTCAGGCTTTGACTGACTGGTTGTATAACAGCTTACTTGTTGGACTTGCACAAATGGCAAATGTGCGTGGATGGTTTTCAGCCATTGAGATACTCTGCAAACAAACCCACACAGCGTCACAGGCAGCTGGGTCAGCCGCTTAGCCCAACCTGTCACCACTGGTGGCTCTGTAGTCAGGACCCAAAAATACAGGGGAGCACCAAGAAGTTCCTGGAAACATTCCATATCTTTTAGTTACATTTTTCCTTAGGCACTTAGAAGCCGCCGCATGTAAACGGGAATGTAGCATTAGTGTGGCACTGTGGGTTAATGCACTGGACTGTAAGGTCATTTTGAACCACAAGGTTGGCAGTTCAAGCTCACCACCTCCTCCTCGGAAACCCTATACAGGGTCGCTGTGAGTCAGAACTGACTAGGGAACAATTAACAACAACATTAGCACTGTGTTTGGGGATGGCTCTCACACACAGGCCGTGCCCTCAGCATTTGTAACTAGGAGAGTGGGATGCAGTTTGCGATCTGGGACTCATTATTTCTCCTGCCCTGTGGGCGCCATAGTGCCCACAGCCTTGTCCAACTCACAGCTGTGACTCCTGTCTGCTGAGTGACAAGTCTGGTGAGTGGTGGGAAGTCTCCGGGAGAGAGGACATGGTCCCCACAGACTTGGGTGGTCGTGGCCTAATACAGAATTGGGCTCACTCTTTCCCCACTGTGATGGCTATGGTGGCAGGGCTTTGAAACACGGCGCCTCTGCCACCTATTCTGACAGGGCCTTTTCTTCCTGCAGAGTGCTTGGTGGAGAATGTGATGGGATCGGTAGCATGTCTGCGGAGAGCGGCCCTGGGACGAGATTGAGGAATCTGCCCGTGATGGGGGATGGACTAGAAACTACCCAGATGTCCACACCGCAGGCCCAGGCCCAGCCCCAGCCAGCCACCGCAGCCAGCACCAACCCCCCACCCCCTGAGACCTCCAATCCCAACAAGCCTAAGAGGCAGACCAACCAGCTGCAATACCTGCTCAAAGTGGTGCTCAAGACACTATGGAGACACCAGTTCGCGTGGCCTTTCCAGCAGCCCGTGGATGCCGTCAAGCTCAACCTCCCTGTGAGTAGTGGGGTCAGGCTTCCTGTGTCTCTACAGGGGAGGGCACCCAGGGAACCCGGGCTGTCCCCTCAGGAAAGCACTGTACCCTGGTGAGTCTGAGTCACAAACTGTAGCCAAGTCTTCAAGTGAAAGGATCTGAAACAGACTGGATTTTGTAACAAGGGGTTAAGGAGCAGTCAAATTTCTGTCTGATATCAGTGGGATGGAGTCAGAGCACAGCAAGCCAGATGCTCCTGGATATTCCCATCTCCCCTGCCTTGAGAGGTATCCATTTGCCCCCATCCCAGCAGGAGGATAAGTGCTTTTATTTTTTTTCTTCTTTGAGAAATTGTTATATACTATCCTTGCTGTTTGCCAGCCCCCCTCATCCCCTGAGCACTATAATGGCAGGGCAGGGGATGGACATATGGTGGCTGTTGTCCTTGGTCAGAGCTGGAATTGAGGGACCATGAGTGCATGTGTGAGTGTCTCATCATCATTCCAGTTGCTCCTCCTATGTCTGTTACAGCTGTCAAGGAACCAGGTTCTACAGACTGGTTTTGGGGGGTAGTCCCCCAAGCCCAGGCTCTATGGCTGCTCTCTGTTAACCAAGACTAGTAGTCAGGTTGAGACGTGGCAGCCTACTAATCTCATGCTGGCTGGCATGCAGGGTAGCCACACAGGGTCCAAGGCTCACCCAGAACAAGTGTAGCAGCTGGAAGAGAAGAAGCCAATGAGATAATGGGTTCCAGAGGACCAGAGCTGACAATGAGCTGGCTGTACTGTTGGCCTTCTGCTGGGGCATTGTTGGTCTTGGAAGACTATAGGGGTGCACTAGTAGAAGTCTGAGGACCTTTGTAGGTGTGATTGAAGGGATGTGTGAGGATGCATAGTTCCACAGGAGCCAAGCAGCAGGATAGAAATGAGGAGAGGACAGAACTAGAGAAGAAAGACCTTGAGATGACAGGGTCATAGAACTGAGTGGGACAGCACCATCCAACAGGGCAGGCGCAGAGTGGGTGGCTGGAGGGTGAGTGGTTGTGGGTGGTGGAGGTCATTATTGTTATGGAATAGAGACAAGAGTCAGGGACTCACAGAGAGTGTGAGTTGCCCTTCATCCCTGTGATTTGCATCAGCACCAGTCTGGCATCTGCTCTGATAAAACAGAGGACGGGCACCACCTCCCCATCCCTATCCCTCCTGTACCCTGGTTCCCAGAGCTGCTCTTCTGAGGTGGGGTTAAGGCCATCAACTATGTGTGTCTTCTCCATTTGCTTCCTGCTGCCTTCTAGGCCTTGACCTCTGTTTTAGACCTTCGTCCCACCAGAATTTTTCCAAGGAAGACGTATTGGTTGTTGCACCCATCTTTTCTCTCCTGCATTGTCCCCTCCATGGTCCAGCTGCCCTTGAGTCATTTAGCATGCTGTGGCTATGGCCACCTCAATCTGGGGAAGACCCCTTCTTTGAGACATTTGACTATGGAGTGAAATGCATTCTCAAGAAGGATATATTTGCACTTTTTTTCTTGGGAGAGATATGACAATTTGTAACAAGGCAAATCTGGTCCAGTGTCCCCACCACGTTGTGGCTTTTTCCCTGGAGTTAGTAATTAGATCATATCCATAGGCCATGCTCAACTTACCTGTGTCTCTGTCTGGACTTGGTGCTTGAGCCCGATGATGGGAACCAGGCGGGTAGGTTATCTCGGACTTTTGGTGGGTCTGACTGACCTTGGGCTCTGTCACATCTATGTACAGGCCCCTGGCCACCTGGCCTTCTGTTGTTGTTATGTGCTGTGGAGTCAATTTCGACTCATAGTGACCCTGTACAGGGTTCCAAGGCTGTAAATCTTTACAGGAGCAGAAAACCTCATCTTTCTCCCGCGGAACAGCTGGTGGTTTCGAACTGCTGACCGTGAGATTAGCAGCCTGACGCGTAACCCCTACGCTACCAGAGCTCCTTCTGTGCTCTTCGCTAAGTTCCTTATATGATTCTTTTCATTACATTCATTTTTAATAACAGGTTTAGGTTTATAGAAAGTTGTAGAGATAATTCAGAGTCAGATTTCAAGAGTGAGTTGCACACCTGCTCTCAACTCTGTTTGCCCCTTAGAGGGTCAGTCCTCCTATGGCACTGGCCCAGTCATAGTTTAACAGTGAAAGATGCCCTGCTGTGAAGTGCTTTAGCTTTTCACATGTTCTGCTCCTTTGGGTTTTCTGAAGGGACTCCATCTTGCATGTCCTCCCCATCACATCACTCAGGTTTCCTTTTTAAGACTGTGTTGGTTCACCCCCACTGTGACTTACTGTGTTTCTTATGGAGTAGAGGGCTTGGGGGATCCCCTGCTGTATGGCTCACCTCAGCAATGTATGCTGCTTCGTGATTTCTGACTTCCCTCTGTGGGACTGCATCTCCTAGGGATTGGGTGGTGCGGTAGCGCGGTGCCCAAACTACCAGACATATGGAGGCAGATGTTGCCTCCCCGTCTGGGTGGGCACTCAACCTCCTCAAACCTGACACCCACTTATGCACTTGAGCCCTTCCTGGGCATACCTGCTGTTCCCAGGACTCTTTAACTCCCTCACATCTGGCTCCAAGTGAGTGGCAGCTCGTTCCACTTCGGCCTTCTTTACACTATCCCAGCTCTGTAGGCTGTTTACAAATAAAGGAAGTTGGGAAGACGTGCTTTCGTTGACAGAGTTCTTTTCTTGGGGCCTTAGCAGGTCAGGGCTCAAGCACTGTCACCATAGGATTGGAATTGTATAGACACCTAAGATGTTAAATATGGGAGAGAGTATGGCGTTAATAGGGACGTGCCTTTTTAAAGGTTATATGTTGACCACATTTCCTTAAAATTAAAGGCTATTTGAACATCAAAAATATGGGAGAACTGTAAAGTTCAGTAAACCTTGTTAAGAGCCAATTAGCAGACTCAAACTTGGACCTCATTAGTTCTGGGTTCTCTTCAGGGTCCCTGACCAAAGATGTGGGAGGGCTTCGGTCTGTGAGGTGGTTCAGGCCACTTGGCCCATGCATGCTACCCAGGGACCCTGGCACATAGTGCACTCTGTCCATTCCCCCACCCCCACCCCAGGATTACTACAGGATCATCAAGACACCCATGGATATGGGAACAATAAAGAAACGCTTGGAAAACAACTATTACTGGAATGCTCAGGAATGTATTCAGGACTTCAACACAATGTTTACAAACTGTTACATCTACAACAAGGTGAGTCTGAGGATTAAGCACACACCCAGTGGGGGTGTGGAACGGGTGGGGGGATTGAGTCTACTGGAAGAGACTATTGCAGTTGAGATGCTGGCTCATAGTTGTTCTGTGTCTTTTGTGGGGAGGAGGGGCTGGCCAGCCAACTGCCCTTGTTAACTTGAAGCTCAGGCTTTCAGTGCCTTGGGATTTGGGTTCTTGGGGCATGTCTTAGTGGTGAAAGTGAAAGGTGGTGACCGCTCAGTACGCATCTACATGGTTAACATAAACTCTCATGAGGGGCCTGCTAGGATGTAGCTATGCAGTGGTGGCTCGAGCAGGGGCTGCAGGGCCAGGGGCTCTGGGGTGACAGTCTCCTGGACATCCAGGCATGGTTGCTCACAGCTTCCAGTCTTGGGAGTCGAGTGACCCCCTCTACCTTTTGCACAGACCCAAAGGTGACCCTCAGCCCCATAGCCACATCTCACGGTCCAACTGTGCCATGAGGCCAGTCCTTTGTTCACAGTGAGACCACAGACGTGATTAAAACCCACCCTCCCAAATAGAGCGGCTCTGGAGGCAGACCCCAGACAGAACTCAGCTTTTGACCTCTGCTGGTGTAGTGGTAGAATGGCCCAGAAGAGATGGGTAGGTGAGTTTCCTGAAGCTTCCTGTGTTTTCTAACATGCCTCTGCTCGAACCACGAGGCTCACGCGGTGCTTGCAAGGACGAGGCCCCTTCCATCTGAGAGCCACTTGGGGCAGTATCAGGGGTGTGGTGGCAGAGTGGGCAGTGTTGGGAGAGCCAGTGCGCCGCTGTGGGACCTGCTGGGGATGGAGCCTAGAGAAGTGCCTGTGGCCTGAAGGCCTGCATGATTCAAGTGGCTCTTGGCTCTAGCCTGCCAGGGACCTATGAGCTTGTCAGGTGCTTGAGGCATTAGGATGGTTTCCAGACAGGCCAAAACAGGATGCTCAAGGTGGGTGGGGAGATAGGTGCTAGCTTAGCACCTGGAGGAAAGGGGAGCCTTGGTAACAATGGGGGCTCGGATCAGGAAGGGCCCTCCTGGAGACGGTACCTAGCGCTTTGGGGCAGGGGTGGCCCCAGGTGGGGAACTTTTACTCTGGGGAGGTGGGGAGGGCTCTCTGACTCACCCCCTGGTCTCCCCATCCAGCCCGGAGATGACATCGTCTTAATGGCCGAAGCTCTGGAGAAACTCTTCTTGCAAAAAATTAATGAATTACCTACTGAAGAGACCGAAATCCTGATCGTCCAGGCAAAAGGGCGAGGCCGAGGGAGGAAAGAAACAGGTGGGCATGGATCTTGCTGTTTCTCTCTGACCATTGCCTCTGTTCCCACATTTGGTTAGAAGTCGGGAGTGGTAAGGAGGGAGCCACTGTGTATTATAATCTGCCTGGTATTATTTGGACTACTGTCGTGGCTGGTCTATGAACCACAAGGTCAGCTGCTCCTTGGAAACCCTATATAGGGCCACTATGAATTTGAGCAGGCACTTAACAACAACAATAACAGTCTTTTTTGGTCATGGTGGGCCTGCCCTATTGGGTCATTAACCATGGCACCTTCCATGAGTAGAGCCCTTCCTTTCAGGAGGGGGAAGTTTCCGAGTGATGCAAAACAGTGAACCTCGTAACAGGTTGGAGGTTTGAGTCCACCCAGGGACACCTTGGAAGAAAGGCCTGGCAGTCTCCTTCCAAAAACTCAACCATTGAAAACTGTGGAGCACAGTTATACTCTGACACTTGTGTCATCACCATGGATCAGAATTTATATGTATAGGGGAAGGGAGGGGTGTGTGGCATTAGACTTAGATTAGAAAGGAAGTCTCCCTCTTTCAGTTGTTCAACTCATCAGTGCTAGAGAGATGTTGGGGGGAAAAACATTAACCTGACCAGAAGTAATCTTAGACAATTTCCCAGCTTATTTGGCAATTTGGGGGTCCAGTTTAAAAAACAAACACCTTCATATACTTGCATCAGACACACACCTGCTGTGACTGCTGCTCCTTCTGAAACCAGTCTCTGACCCCTCTTGGCCTGGTGTCCAAGGCCACCTGGCAATAGTTGTTAAGTACTGTGGAGTCAGTTCCGACTCATAGTGACCCTGCATGGGGTTTCCGAGGCTGTAAATCTTTATAGGAGCAGAAAGCATCATCTTTCTCCCATGGAATGGCTGGTAGTTTTGAACTGCAGACCTTGAGGTTAGCAGCCCGATTCGTAACCATTACGCTCCCAGACTGGTTCAGATACCTTGTGTTCTTCCAGATCCACACAGCAGGTGTTAAGAGTAGGGATAAAATGTAGCTCATTTGTTCCCCAAAGAATGCTTTTCCTTTGACTTTGACTCTCCTTTTCTCAGAATCTGTTCTGAAGCCCAGAGTTGGGGCAGGGACTAAAGGTGGAAAGTGTGGTGGCTGGGGGTGGGGGGAGCTAAGGAACAAGTCCTGTTTGGCAGCCTCTATACTCTGGTGGCATAGTGGTTATGAATCGGGCTGCGGACCGCAAGGTCAGCAGTTTAAAACTACAAGCTGTTCCTCGGGAGAAAGATGATGTTTTCTGCTCCCATAAAGATTTACAGCCTCGGAAACCCTGTACAGGGTTGCTATGAGTCAGAACCAACTCCACGGCACATAACAACAACAACATACTGGCTGGCACACAGGCCATGTTGTAACTCCTCTGCTCCATTTCTGGAAGCAGCACCCAAGTGGGGGAGGGGGCGGTGATCTGGGAATCGGGTAGAAGCCCCTTCCTTGAGCTCTGAGGCACTATTCAAGTCTCACACAAGCCAACTCATAGTTGGCATCTGGGTGCTTGCTTATGGTGATGGGACTATTGAGTTCAGGCCTGGCTCTGGTTCCCCATGTGCTAAAAGGCATTTGCCTGCTCATGGCACAGCCTTGGGCATGCCCAGTGGCCATTGATGCTGAGGCTCCCCTCTTGACTATGGGGAGGCCTCTTAACACTGACCAGCCACCAAGGGCAGCAGCCAGCCAGCATCCGCTGGGGCCCAGGACGGAGCCTTCAATTGCTGCTATCACAGTCCCCACCACTTTTCCCTCTGGCAGTGCTTCTCGAGCTAGGACAGCCCAGCTGGGGCTCTCAGCCTCTGCCCTGTTGAGGGGTCATTCTGGGGCTGGGTGTGCGGCACAAGACCTGTCCAGGGCCTGTGGCTGTCTACTGTGTGGGGACCTTCCCTGTGAGGCTAACTGGGAGCAGCTCCTCACCACCCTCCCTTTCTCTGTCCCCAGGGACAGCAAAGCCTGGTGTCTCCACCGTACCAAACACAGCGCCAACATTGACGCCTCCACACACCCAGACCCCTCAGCCGAATCCGAATCCGCCGCCTGTGCAGGCCACGCCCCATGCCTTCCCTACCATCACCCCAGACCTCATCGTCCAGTCACCCGTCATGACAGTGGTGCCACCTCAGTCCTTGCAGGCACCCCCGCCAGTGCCGCGCCACCCACCCATCATCGCGGCCACCCCACAACCCGTGAAGGTGAGCACCACCCCTGCTATGCAGGGAGATGAGGGGTGGAGCGTGGGTGACACAGAGCCTACCTATGGGTCCCTAGGTGTGAATGGGTGTTTCACAGAGTCTACTGTTTGCATCAGTACACCCTGGGGGCAGCTACACCTGGGACCACAAGGTCATGTTCATGGTTTTTTCCATTCCTGACATCCTGAGCAGCCTCGGGACACCCAGTGAGGTCTTTAGCACATGTCTATTTCTAAAGGCCTCCAAGGCCCGGAGGCTCTAAGAGCAACTTCTGAATCCAGTTGTGCTGTCCCTATCACAGGTGGCCTGCCCCAGCTACAGGGGGTTGGGGTTAGGGCCAGTGTCCAGGGAGTTGGGACTCCAGTTACAGACAGGGATGGTCCTTGACCCTGGTGCTGCTCTCCACAGACAAAGAAGGGGGTAAAAAGGAAAGCCGACACCACCACCCCCACCACCATCGACCCCATCCACGAGCCACCTTCATTGCCACCGGAGCCTAAGGTCACCAAGATGGGCCCCCGGAGGGAGAGCGGGCGACCCGTGAAGCCCCCGAAAAAGGACGTCCCCGACTCGCAACAACACCCAGCACCTGACAAGAGCAGCAAGGTCTCAGAGCAGCTGAAATGCTGCAGCGGTATTCTCAAGGAAATGTTCGCCAAGAAACACGCAGCCTACGCCTGGCCCTTCTACAAGCCCGTGGACGTGGAGGCACTGGGCCTGCATGACTATTGCGACATTATTAAACACCCCATGGACATGAGCACAATCAAGGTGGGTTCTCCCTACCCAGGCACCCCAGGGTCATGAGCACAGCACAAGGGGGACTCCCCCCAGGCTGGGAGGGAACCAGCCAGGCTTCTCCACCTGCTCCAAGGAGTTCAGCAAATCGTGCTGGGGAGAGTGGAGTTTGCTCCTAGATCATGTACCTTGGCGACTTGGTTATGGTAGAGCAAGGCCCGTCCTTCTCTGTCGGTGGACGCTCAATGTCAGCAGACACTAGTGGTCTTGCCCCCTCCTTGTCTGTGTCAGGGATGACCCTCGTGGTCTCCCCTCTTTGGGAGGCAACCACTAGGACAGGCAGTCACTACATCCTTGTAACCAGGTTCACAGAGGGAGCTGGTGACCCAGATGAGAACTCAGCACTGTCTGTCTCTACCTTGTTGCAATTTCATGGCATGGCATGGCATGGCATGGCAGATGGGCTGGGTTCCTTTGACCAGGGCCACATCTTGCATCTGTCCAGGTCAGAATTGGGCTCAGACTTCCCTCATGCAGTGTTGGCCTAGGCATCACATCCTACATGGATGGATGAATTTGGGGTGCCAGTGTCCTACCCTGGGGCTCGCTGTTGAGTGTGGCCTTTTTCACTGATTTGGAGAAATGGGGTGATGGTCTCCACACTCTTAGGGCCTGGGTCACCCGAGAAGCCTGTTTGCTCCCCCAGGCAGCCCTCACTGCTGCCACTGCCCCCAGGACAGGCATGCACAGCTAACAGGCCCGGTCCTGTCTTCCCAGTCTAAACTGGAGGCTCGCGAGTACCGCGACGCTCAGGAATTTGGTGCCGACGTCCGATTGATGTTCTCCAACTGCTACAAGTACAACCCTCCTGACCACGAGGTGGTGGCCATGGCGCGGAAGCTTCAGGTGAGGCTCGGGGTGGGGGCCTACCCGGGACCTTGGCAAGCTTTGTTTTTGCCACTAACCTTGGCAAAGTGCCATGTGGGCTCAACTTGGGATAAAGTGGAATTATCGACTAGCCAGTGCCAAGAGCCAGAGGTTTTCAAGCAGGTGGTTTGTTCCACTGCTGGTCTTGAGTGTGTGTGTTACTGTTTCAGGGTATCCCCTGAGACCTCCCCCAGTTTCACAGCTTTGGTTGGAGTAGTGTGTTGTATGTGGTTAGAGCCATTCTGTAAAACCCGTTTGCCTGCCTGCTAGGAGTAGACCTTTGGTAACAGTGGCTGTGAGCTTCACTGGGGTGCTTCTTTCCTAGAACCCCTAATCATTCTTTGTTCACCATTCTCTCCAGATGCTACCGGGACAGGGAGGTTACAGTACAAACATGTCAGCCAATTCGCTTTTTTTTTAATATAAGTTTTTATTGTGAATTGAATGATAGTTTACATGGGAGAACATTGGCTTTAGACCATTGTTTCATTGCAATGATTACAATATCCCCCATGCATTATCACTCAACAGTATTTGCTTATATTCCCTCTGTTTTTTTTGTTTTGTTGGGGGGTGGGGTGGGATGTACACAAAAATACTCAGGAACATATGATAATAATTTAAACAACCAAAGGGCATATTCTGCAACCCTGCCTCCTGGCCTCCAGCACTCAGTCTTTCTCTTTCCTTGAGTCTAGAGTTGTCAGCTACTCCCTCTCTCCATGTCCTCATCTCTGTCTTCATCTGGTGTTGCTGCTTCTCTGGATAGAGTCCCACATTCTATTCATGCTTTTCTTTCTTGATGGTCCTAAGGGTCCTCTGTTTCTGGACTGTAAGATTAACTACTCCCCCATTTTTATTACAAAACTTCTACCTTTAAAGTTGTGACTGTCATGATAATAAGAGTTACTCACTATTGAATCATAAGAATCTTATCCCCATCTCCTTTCAACAGACCCGTCTAGACAGGATGAAAACTATTCAGTGGGGACTCTACCTTTCCCTGCACGCTCTTTTAACTCCTTTTTGAAAACTTGTAAGCCAGCTACCTCGTACCTTTAAACCACCACTACCAACCCCCAACACATAAACATTTTAGATAGCCAATGTCTAAGTTACCTTCTCCTTTTATTTTAGTTTAGTTTTTTTCTCCTTTTATTTTTAAAACATGGAAAATCATATATCCAAACTTCAACAGTAATTCTCTTTAAGTGGTAAGGTTAAGGATTAAAATGTTTGGAGAATAAAGTCAGTATTTGGCATGTTTATAGTACTTTTTATTTAATTCTTTAAGATTAAATTGTCCTGTGGCTTGCTTTTGCTTTGAGGTCAGCAAGCTGTGTGGGCTGGGGCTCAGGTTGATAAGGCCCTGGATCTTGACACACCCAGGAGAAAGGTTGCTTGCTGTTTCCGAGGCTTACACTAGGACCTTCCTCATGAAGAGCCTTCACACTGGCGCTCGTGCTCGCACACGCACACACACCCCACCCCCCTCTTCCTACCCAGAATGGAAGGGTTTGTTTCCACTGTTCATTTTAATTTTATTTTTTCTGAGTTTTTTTGGTTTTTAGATTGGGTGTAGAACACTTTCAGTTGGGTACTGCCTATGCAGCCTTCACAATCTGACTGCCATATCATTAGCTGCGTTAACCTTTTGACACCATTTAACTGCAGTTTTTGTAAAGGCCCACTAGGTGGCAGAAGTGTCCTCAGTTGCACCTGAGAGAAGGCACCAGAGATTTCCACTCCATTCCCTTTCTTTGCCATCCTGAAAACAGCCAACCAAAACAAGTTCTCTGCCAGCAACCAAGATTGCTATTTTGTTTGTTAGCTGTTGAAAGAAAAAGAAGCAAATATTCTCTAATATATCTTCCTCTCTTGAAACCTAATTATTATTGTTTAGTGCCACCAAGTAAGTTCTTGGTTCTGACTCAGAGTAACTCTGCAAAGGGTTTCCAAGGGGCTGCTGGTGAGTTTGAACCACCGACCTTAGAGTTCAAGCCTACCATTTGGACCAATGCTTTATCCCACAGCACCACACCAGGACTCAGTAGCCATTATATTTTTTCTCTACAGCCTTCACTTGCTGGCGAAGGTTTCTAGGTTTTGTTGGCCTGATTTGGGGATAGTATTGCATGGTTCTTCCAGTAGGATTGCAAGCAGGCCTGCTTGCGTGGGGTTCGCTCATGGTAGCTCACTGGGCTGGACCAAATGAGAGCATGACAGCAGGTCAGCACCAGGTCAGCTCTGCACATCTTAAGGGTGGTCTGCAGGTGATAGAAGCCTTGCCAAATTGTTTTAACGCTGCTAGAACCATCTCTCGTACTGTTGTAGAATGAAGTATATCTGCCTTGATGACCTAGTTGGTTGGGAGGTGGGTCCTAGGGAGCTTCCTGTTGGGAGAAACAAACCCTTATTTGCCATCCAGTCGATTCCCACTCCTGTGGGAATACACCCTCCATGTGTGTGTCAGAGTAGAACTGTGCACCTTTGATAAGTGCCGTCAAGTCAGTTCCACTCATACTGACCCTGTATAGGGTTTCCAAGGAGTAGCTGGTGCATTTGAACTCAACACCAACCTGTGGTTAGCAGCGCAGGGTTTATCCTACAGCATCACACCTAACATTTGTTTCGGGTGTTGCCGAGTTGGCTCTGACACATTTCAACCCTATGTACAATAGAACAAAATGCTGCCCAATCCTGCCCTATCTTCACAGTTGTTAGGGGAGTCTTCCTTTTCCAGGGACAGTCTCTCCTGGTAAGCGGGTCCGAAGTATGAAAGAAAAGTCTCACAGTCCTGGCTTCTGTGCTCCGTAGTGGTTTCCTTCATTATAATTTGAATGAAAGTTTACAGAGACAATTAGTTTTCCATCAACAACTCTACACATTTTTTGTTTCATGACATTAACTGCTCTTCCTACTTCTTCTGTGTTTCTTGTTTCCAGTGGTCCTTTCCAATCCCTTTGTGCTTTCTGAGTTTTTATCCCTGGTTAGATGAGCCTTTTTTTTTAAATCTCCTATGGTTGGTTGGTTTTAAGAAGCGCATATCCCCCCACCCCCCAGGTGGTATTGGTCACCATATGGGTCTGTCTGTGATTTAGCTGAAAGTGGAACTACGGGGATGAGTTAATGTCCAGGCCTAAAGGATATCTAGAGAGAGGCCAGTCTCAGGGGTTTTCTATACCAGTCTGTCAAACCAGGAAGCCTGGTCTTTCTATGATTTGGAGTTCTGTCTCACATTTTTCTCTACATAGGGTTTTCAGTGACTGATGTTGTTGGAAGTAAATCATTAGATCTTTCTTCTGAGGTGCCTCTGGTTGGGTTTGAACTTCCAACCTCTTGGTTAGCAGCTGAGCGTATTCATTGTTTGTACTATTAGGGCCATCTTGTTGGAAAGGCCATTGAGGCTGTGGGCTTTGCTTTCTTTTCCTGGAAGTTCTTCGGTATCAGTGTAGGATGAGGACCTGCTGTCCACCCCCAGACTGGAGCTCATCTGGAACGTAACATAGAGAGGAACCCACTTTGTTTCCCTCCTCCAGCCTCTCATTTCACAAAGTCTCACGGGTTCAGGGCCTTCTTGGGCTAAATTACTGCACTCCTTCCTGATAATTATCCAGTAGTTTAGAAAGTGTGTTAACAGTTGTAGCCCACTTGAAACCCTAAGTTTTATGTCAAGAAAGCAATGCAAATTCAAAGTGGTGTGCGATTGTCTTTATAGTAAGGAAACGAAACTCAAAAGTGTGCCGGTGGGGGGCTACAGAGGCAAGAAGTGACTGGCTTACAAGCTTTCAAGAGGGAACCTAGATCCAGAGGGCCTGGAGGAAGGTAGAATCTTCAGTGAGTAGTATTCAGTCTGACTAGGCGGGGCTGATGCAGTGAAATGCAGATGGGTCTCTTGTGATACAATAGTGAATAATTGTTATCAGGACTGACTGTGAGGGTTGGAAATGTAAAGGTGGATGTTTTATAGCAAGGAGGGGAGTGATTAACTTTTCAGTCTAGGAGCAGAGGTCCCTAAGACCATCAAGGGAGAAGAGCAGAGAGCGGGACCCTACCCAGTGATGCCAGAAATGGAGCCAGAGATGATAATGTGGAGCTATGGAGCAGCTGGAGATTCTAGACCCAGAGAGGGAGAGCGACTGTGTGCTGAAGACCTGTGGGGCCATGGGGAAGGATTGCATGGAGGGGATTGTAACCATGGCAATGAGACGATATATGATAGAATGAATGTAAAACTAATGTTCTCCCATGTATACTATCACATAATTCACAATAAATCATTTAAGGAAAAAAAAAATGTGGCCAACACTGGCCTAACAATGAACAAGAAGCTTTTTAAAACTGCACCTGGCATCTAAGTCCATAATGAATGGTATTTATTATAGTGTCTCAAAAAGGTAAATAAAATATGGCTTTAACGGTTTAAAAAAAAAAAAAAAAAAAGTGTGCCGGGATCTTCTGCATTGGAACGCAGAGGCAGGGATTTGTGTGCGTGTCTGCCATCACTCACAGCACCTGACACCTTGAGGCCTTCCCCTCCTGCTCTGCACTCTGGGTGTGGCCCTGGAGCAGTCTGCGGTGCTAGGGAGAGTCGGTTAGGCCACCTGTTCGCAGATCATCGACCAATGTGTCTTCCCAACCCTGAGCATCTCTCCCTATGAATCCAACTTAGATTGGATGATTCTGGTCAGCCTTATAGCTAGAGCAGGTTCTTGATGTGACCATTGGAGTTTATTGAGGAGCGAGCCCAGTGTGACACGAGTTGTAGGGGGAGGGATAGTGGTTGTAGGATGCATGGTGGAGACTACCCTGGCAGCATCATTTCCTGTATTGTCACCATCACTGTCTTTTTGAAGTCAGTCTCCTGGTCCCTGTGCCCCATTGCTCTTCCCCTTTGCAACCTCTTGATGTGCTCTGCCTTCTCAGTCACCCTGCTTAGAGGAGGGCTGCTTGGGGTTGGGTTGACCCTGCTTGTGTCCTCTTCCAGCCTTGGTTTACAACTTTTGTGAGCTTCCTTGTGTTTCCATCCCCACTGAACTCTGAGCTCCTGGGTCCAGCGGACACATCATCTGGTAACCACACAGGGCACTTCAGAAATACTTGTCTTGCCTTATACCCAAGGAAGGTTTTCCTCTAGCAGCCTTGGACTTATGAGCATGGGGTCAAGAGAGCGTTTTCCAGAGAGCTCTGTAGTGTGCAGAGCCCAGGATGGCAGAATGTGACCCAGACTGGAGTAGACTCTGTGAACATTGCTGTTTGACCTTAGGAGCTCAGAGAGTTGTGCTGTAGTCTCCACCCACCTGGGCACTTGGATTGGAAGGCTCTCCTTTGCCTTATGGCAGGGGCAGTGTGGCCAGGATAGGAGGAGACTGATCGCCTCCCAAGCAGTCTCTGGTGCCTGGCTTCCCTGTGCACTCTAGATGCTGCCTCACCTCGGTGGTTCCTCAGCCTATGGCTGAGTTCTGCTGGTGGTTAGCTCCTTCTCCCTGGGTAGCTGGTGGGCTCTCGTCCTGTGTGTGCTCATGGACGGAGTGCCCCTGCCGTTGTAGAACTCCATAAGCAGAACCGCTGTTGAGACAAAATCCTGGCTGGTGTTGCTGCTACCTTGGGAGGTCTACACACCTGGGGAGCTATGGGGCGGGGGTAGGGGCTCATCCGATCCCTCTTGGAGACGAAACCATGTGGCTCTAGCCCCAGGGGGCTACTTTCAGAAGCATGCCATGCAAACCCATCTCTGTCTCGTCTCTGTGCTGGCTTCATCGTGGGTGCATCCCTGAATGGGATCCCAAGGTTGTTTTAATCCTAAGCATCTTCTAGTCTCACGATGCTGCCTTTTACCTTCTCACCTCCTTCTTATCCTCTTGCCTGGGAGACGCTCAGTCCTGTGCTGTCCCGTGACCAAAGGAGTCACGTGCAGACACAGGTGTTCCCCCTACTCTCACCCCCACCCCCCATAGTGCATTCTGTGTGCCAGATACCTCCATGTAGCAGATTCACCCACTCCTGCCTCCTTCTCTGTTAGCCTCTGTGCCTGAGGTGCCTCCATCATGTTAGCATGCAGTCGCAAGGCCCCAGGGTGCTGTCTGGTCCCCTCATCAAGGACCTCAGTGGACTGGCCCACTCATTTGGTGTCCTGTGCCCTCACCTGGATGTGTCTCAAGGAGGGTGTGTGTGGCCACCTCAGGAGCACCTTCCCTTTACAGGGGGCTTCCTGTCATGAGAATGCTGGGCCTTGGTCCTCACAGGCATGACTCTTCCCCTCAGGATGTGTTCGAGATGCGCTTTGCCAAGATGCCAGATGAGCCCGAGGAGCCTATGGTGGCTGTGTCCTCGCCGGCTGTGCCTCCTCCGACCAAGGTGGTGGCCCCACCCTCATCGAGCGACAGCAGCAGTGACAGCTCCTCGGACAGTGACAGCTCCACTGATGACTCCGAGGAGGAGCGGGCCCAGCGTCTGGCTGAACTCCAGGAGCAAGTGAGCACTGTTCCTGTGTTTCCAACCCTGTGGCCTGGCCCCCTTCACTAGACAAGTGCTGTGTTGGCCTCATACAGCAGTGATGCACCACTGCTGGGCCAGGACAGAACAGGATAACCTGAATGGAAGAGACAATCCTAGGTCCTCTCAGTCCCTGAAAGGAGGAGGTGGGGCTAGGGTAGCTATTGGCCTTGACATTATGTTTGCTCACCTGGAGCCCAGGGCATGGGTGACTGTGAGCAATGTGAGCTAGGCACTGAGTCAAGGTCCCCTACATTTGCCACCCAAGCCCCCCACCCTGCCCTGCGTCCTGGGTACCGCAGGTGCTGAGCCCATGGATCTGCCCACAGCTCAAAGCCGTGCATGAGCAGCTGGCAGCCCTATCGCAGCCCCAGCAGAACAAGCCAAAGAAGAAGGAGAGAGACAAGAAAGAAAAGAAGAAGGAGAAGCACAAAAAGAAAGAGGAAGTGGAGGAGACGAAGAAGAGCAAAGCCAAGGAGCTGCCGAGCAAGAAGGCCAAGAAGACCAACAGCAGTAACAGCAACAGTGCCAGGTCTGTGCTTCCCACTGGGGGCTGCTGAGGCTCTCTCCCTGGCGACCAGTCCATCACAGCCCAGCCAGTCTCCTGTCCCTTCCCCTGGGAGCCTTTGGAAGCTCACACGCATGACATTTGGCAAAGGACTAGAGTGTGCTGTCTGGGCCCCCAGTAGAGTTGGTCATTCCCTCTGATTCAGGCGGCCTGCTTGTCTGCACCAGGTGCTGCCTGGGCACCCATGCTAGCACCTCAGCTGCCTTAAAACCACACCACTGGGGACATCCTAGTGTGTGTGGGCTTGTCCTCATGATGTGTCATTCCCCAATGCAGCAAGAAGGAGCCGGTGCCTGTGAAGAACAAGCCACCGCCAGCATACGAGTCGGAGGAAGAGGAGCGCTGCAAGCCCATGTCATATGAGGAAAAGCGGCAGCTGAGCCTGGACATTAACAAGCTGCCTGGTGAGAAGCTGGGCCGTGTGGTGCATATCATTCAGTCACGTGAGCCCTCTCTCAAGAACTCCAACCCTGATGAGATTGAGATCGACTTTGAAACTCTGAAGCCGTCCACACTGCGCGAACTGGAGCGCTACGTCACGTCTTGCCTGCGTAAGAAGAGGAAGCCCCAAGGTGCGTGGGTCCAGCCTCCCTCTCTGGTGAGATCCTATAGGTGTCCCATGGTTTCTGTGTGAGCGTTTCCAGATGATGCCATCTATGCCTTTGGTCTGGAAATCGTCTGAAGGTAGTAGCAATCAGCCCTGGCTTACTTCAGGCTATGGCGGGCAGTGCAAGGAGAGAGAAAGGTGGTGTGCTATCCAAGGTGCAGTATAGATGCAAACTTAGAACTGAATGTGGCTGCCAGCCCGCTCTGTGTGCCTTTCCCCCTGGCCTTGACGACAAAGATCTTCAGGCATCGCTTTGTCATCGCAAGTGCCTTAGCTCTGTGTCAGGGTTCCCAGGCTTGACTCTGCTCCTCTGGGCCCACCCTAGTATGGGCAGGTGCAGTGTACCCTGGAAGTGCCATGCGTGTTTTCCGGTCCTGCCTTATCTTGGCATCAGGCCCTGTGTGCTCTCTGTGCCCAGCCCCTCACATTAGGACCTCCCCCTTCACCTTGTCTCTCTGGTCTCAACATGTCGTTCAGCGAAGTAGGACACCAGTGGGCCCCTATTCAGCAGGCCAATGTTTCACTTGCAGCAGAGAAGGTGGATGTGATCGCCGGCTCCTCCAAGATGAAGGGCTTCTCGTCCTCAGAATCAGAGAGCACCAGCGAGTCCAGCTCCTCCGACAGTGAAGACTCCGAGACAGGTCAGGCGACTTGTTTGGGAGGCACCTTCTCCCCTTGACTTACCACGTCCTCTGTCCATCTGCCCGTTGCCCATTGTGTCCACCTTCTAACTCGAGTTGGGGGTGACCTTACGCCCCCTCCAGCAGTTGTCCTCAAATGCCTCCTGGCCTGGGAGTCCAAAGGCCTGTATGGTGATGGGGCCTTGGGGAGGGAAGAAGACGAACCAGGTGCAGGCATTGCTCAATGTTGGCCCCAGCAGGTGCTCTTTGTCTCACGGTGGGCCCAGGCAGGCCTGCTTTCACGTCTTCTTACTGTGCACCAAGTGGACACTGTGCCCAGCCTAGCCCTCCCTTGTGAGCAGCTACCTGGTGGAATTACAGGGGACAGGCAGAGCAAGATTCTAGGAGCCTTGTGGGGGTCCTTCTTTTTATTTGGGGGACTCAGGCCAATGGATTGGGAAGAGAAGCAGCCTGAGGGTCTGCCCCATCCTGAGTTGAAAGTGGACAGTCTATTCTTGGGGGCGGCATGCTCATGTCAGGCCACCGGGAAGCAGGCATCAGACAGGGTTTCCCTCTGGGTTTCAAGTAGAAACAGACTGCCATCATTCTGCTTTAGCACCTGGTGTCACAGGTGGGGAGGTAGAGGCCGGGGATGGGATATTCTCTGACTGGGTGTCAACACATCCCTCTCTCTTGTCCTCCCTCTGTAGTGGGGTCTCTTATCTTAGGTGACCTCTTGGGTGGGTGACTGTTTTCAGCAAAATGAAATTCATTAGACTGGGTCTGTCCTGTACTTACTGAGTACCTGCTGTGTGCAGAGACTGCCCGGTCTGGACCACAGGCCACCAGCCCCACCCCCACCAAGTCTTAAGTGGCTACTCTTTCTGTGGCCAGCAGGAGGGAGCATCATGCACCGATGCCCTGGAAGCTGGCCCACACTGAAGCGAATGGCTATTTTCTTGGGCCCTGTCAGCAGTCTTCACATCAACAGCAGCCCAGCCACGATTGGTCTCCTTTTGGTCGTACTTCTTGCATTTTTCGTAGACTGCTCCCAACAGGGTTTCCCCAAAGGCAGTCCTGCCTAGGGTCCTACAGTGCCTAGGCACATCGTGGGGCCTTGAGCACCTCTGAGGTGCAGCTCAGGTGGGGTTCCTGAGAGCAAGGCCCACATGCCAATGATGCACTACCTCGAAGATTGTTTTCCCTTCATTTTTTCACTTTTTTTCCCCTTTAAAGAATGGGGCATGATTGTGCAACATGTAATTTGAGAGTCCTGGGAACAGCTGTCCTGGCAGGAAGGAGGCAAGATTTACAGTCTTGGTGCCGCTGGCTCCCAGGCTTCCGCCACTTGGCTTCTCAGCCACCCCTCCCCGCCTGGTGCTTACTAGCTCCATTTGTCCCTCCCTGAGAGCCGAGACCCCTGTGATCACGTCGTCTGTGTGGCCCGCCCTCGTGGGGACTATGTCTGTGTGTTTGGGGCCACAGCATTATTCAGTGTTGGCCGTCCAGCACAGGAGCCCAGGCCCTGTGCCGGGATGGGCTGGCTGTGGGTTCCAGGTCCATGAGCCAGCTGCCCTGGTTTCTGTGGTGGTTACAGCAGGATGTGGATGCTAGCTCCTCTGGTCTTTCTCCTTCTTCCCTTGCTTCCATATGGACAGCTGGGAGTTGTGGATGCGTCTCCTTCTATCACTTGCACGACAGTTCAGCTGCCAACACATCCTTAGACATGGATCATCACAGGGAGCTGAGCAGAGGCACTAGAGAGGGTCTAGAAGCAGGGGGTGTGGGTCTGCTCATCCTTTGAGCATCACTGACCTTAGTCTCCTGTATCTCCAGAGCACTGGTCCTTCACTATTGCCGGAATTGGCTTGAGGGTTCATTATCAGAATGGAGGGGTTCAGAGAAATGGCTGTGTGGAGGCTAGTGGTTATCACCAGCGCTGGCTCTCTCCACCTCTGGCTCCATCCCACTGCTGAAGGCCTGAGCAGGAGACACAGGCTAAGCCCCTCCCAGGAGCCCTGGTCACCTAGACATGGACGCAGGGTTCTGTGACTGGCCTGTTGGGCCGTGGCCATGGCACACATTCAGCTATTTTTGTCTCTTGGTTTCCTTTTCCCAGGACCGGAGTGTGTGGGTGTTTCTTAATAGCTCCAGGGGAAAAAAGAATGCTTGATGTTTTGGAAAGATCTGGGTTGGAAAGTGCAGACGGAGGCCACGGGCATTCTCACCAAGACAGGCCACCCCAGCCTCCCACCAGGCTCTCAGGAGCCTGTTCCCAGCCCAACTGATCCTGCCTGTTGCTCCACAGGCAAGTGTGGGCCTCTGGGAGACCTGAAGGATCGGGTGCCCCTTCTCACATGAACAAACACATACACATTCTGGAGGGGTTCAAGGGCCCCTCAAAGGCAAGGTAGTGTGGTAGTCTCTACAGTGACTCTGAAGACCAAGTATGCGTTCCGCTGTGTGATGCCCCCAGGCAGAAAACAGTTCACCTTGGCTCCTTCCTTCTTCCTGTCCTCCTCAACAGGCTGTGTGACCGGCTCCTCCTCTCCAGCTTGTCTTGATTGTCTGGGCTCTGGAGGCATAGGGAGCCCTGGCCTCTATGTCTTTCCCTCCCAGGGACTGGACGGAGAGAGTGCAAGAGACAGCCCTGCGGGGTGCACGCAGAGCCAGTTTTCCAGGAAGGAGAGAGTGAGAGGGCTGGGGCGCCTCTCAGAATCAGAGGAATTTTGCTAAAAGGAAATGCCAGCATCGAGCTATGCAGAATGCATATGGAACTCGTTACAGAAGCCGTTGTTCTGTTGAGAACCATAAGAGAATTCAAACAAGCACAGGGCGTTTCTGGGGAAGTCCGTGCACAGCACACTTTCTGGGGGAAGTAGGTGTGCTCGCTGCCCTTCCACAGGGCGAAGCTCTGCCCTCTGGTTCTCTTGGGTTCCGTGGGCACAGGAAGCCGACCAGTGCAACTCTTGATTCTTGTGACTGACTGGGCGGAACATTCCACACCATCTCTCTCACACTGGTTTCTCTCTCCTCTATGTAGGTCCTGCCTAATCATTGGACACGGACTCTTAATAAATCGGTCTTCAGTTCCAGATTCCTTCCCAGCGAGCTATAGCTTAAGTCCATTTTCTTCTGTGAAAGGGACAGGACTCCACCAAGTCACGCACCCTCAGAGCCTTGGGCCTGTCCCTGGGGGGAGGGGGGACGGGCTAAGTCATACCCAGCAGCGCATGCCTGGCTCCCTTCGGTGAGGGCTGCCATGGGCCTTCCAGGGTCAAGACTGCCTGACTGTAGCACCTGGCCCACTGTGGGGCCTCGTGGTGAGGGCAGCTTCCAGAGGCAGAGCAGGCCCACCTATACTTGGGCAGCTCCCTGGGCTCAAAATGTGTTCTCTTCACCTTCCCTCTTTCCTGGGACTCTGGATCCTCTGCTTTCTCCAGGACTTGCTGTGACATTTAGCCAAGGAGAGCTCTCATTCAGCCTAAGGAAGAAAACTCTAGAGCTTTCCCAAATGAACCCCAGGAACTTTCCTCTGTCCTGACAGGCCAACTAAGCCACAAGGGGTCCCTGACCACAGCTAACTGTGGGTTCCTGGAGGTATCATCCGTCTTCCTTATCCAATGTGTTTCCAGAAGCTTAAGCTGCCTGCCCCACTTCTTTTGCCTCTTCCCCTGTTCACATAGGGAGGGATCCTCATGCTCCTTCCCTCAGGCTTAAAAGAAAGCTGCCCCTCCTCGATTCTGGGTGTCAGGCGGGCCTCCCAGGTTTGGGCACTGGGGCACCATGCAGCAGGCCAACCTTGGCTTGCTGTCCTCCTTTGCACTAGTGGGCCCTGGACCTGTGAGCAGGCGTCATGCCCTGGGATCTGCCCCAAGACTCACCTGGGGGTGTGCCAACAGGAGCATCCTTGGTCTGGAATGGTGATAGCCTCCAGGGGTCGGTTGGGCAGGTCAGGACAGCCGCTTCTTCCTAGAGTCATCGAATGGGCCTCTTTGCTCTAAAAATACAAACCAGCCCATTTTTGGTCACAAATTGGCATTTTGGCAGAAACGCGCGTGACGCACACAGTCCCCTGAGGAACACATCTATGCTGGGGTGCGTTTCCTTCTTACGTGGAGTCTGTGTGGACTTGCATGGCCCTTCTCAAAGGCTGCCTCATTCTGGGACTGGGGGCTGCCCAGGGGGCATTGTCCTAAGGGCAGGCCTCCCCTCCCACCCTCCCCACAGCTTATGACTGCCAAGCTCTGCCTGACCTTCACCTTGGCCTTAGTCAAGCTCCCAGCTCCCAGGCGAGCTCTTTTGGCCAGACTGACTATTTTGAGCTACCCTTTGACCTGCTCCTGGTTCTTCCCAGTGCAATGTGGCCAAGCCACTGGCGTTGTCTTTCTGGGAAGATTCCTCTGGGTTCCCAGTCCCAGCATCCCCTTCACACAGGCTCTGCAGGTCCTTCCCCTTGGGCATTCAGGCCGTCCTTGCCTGCCTGCAGAGAGAGCTCTGTGCCCAGTAACTCAAACACTTCAGACTCAGGCTGTTGCCTGTGCCAGCTGCTCCAGAAGCGGTGCCAGAGGAGACAGGCCCTGCCACCTCCAGGGGGACAACCTGAGGCAAGAAGGGTCAGTGGGAGCTATGGATCCTGAGGAGGCTGAGTCATCTGACCCTCAGACCTCAGGCACCAAGGTGCTCCCAGGCAGCTCAGTTCAGGCCACCCTCTTCCTCTGTCTTCCCTCCTCCTTCTGTCCATCTTCATCCCTCCTCCTTCCCCCCTTTTCCCTCGGCCCTGCCCTCCACCCTCTCACTCTTCTGTCTCTTTCACTTCGGGGGGGCTGGGGACAGGGGGAATCAGTGTTTTAAATCAAATTTGACAGAAACTTTTTCAACCTTTGTACAATTATCCTATGTAAAGCTGAAATTGTGTTGAGTTCTCAATTGTCGTGGAATAAAGATCACACCGTGCTTGAGGCCATCTTCATGTAACCCGTTCTAGAGAGTTTTGTGGGGGGTGGGGTTGGCGTGGCGTGACGCTGTCGTGGAGCCGTGCACTTCCTGTCCTGTCTCCCCTCAAACACCAGGCGCAGCCCCACTCCAGAGCCTCACTTGATTGTCCATAGTATCCTCACAGGTTCCCCACTCACTCTCCTCCTAAGGGACTCCTCCAGACACACCGTATCCTCCTCCTCAACTACAGTGGATGTCTGGCCACCCCTTAAGACTTCTGGTCATATTTCACTCATGGATTTGTCTCCTCCCCTGACTTCCCTCTCTGTTCCCTCAAAGCCAAACTCCCCATGCGTGTCTGGCACCCACCTGCTGTGCTGGGAGACATTGGGACTGCATCTAATCGCTGTCCCCATCCCCACCGTGACCCTGACGCTACAGGTCCACCCAGAGTGGCCCTTCCTGCACAGCCTGCCCATAAGAATCTCCTCTTGCCAGCATTAGGTTGCTCTCCTAAAAGCCCTGAGCCCGGTGTTCTCCCTCTCTGGTGTCCCCTGTCCCCTCGTGTAAGGACATGTGTCCTGGACTGCTGAGGTCTCTTGGTGTCTCGTCTCTGATGTGGGTGGTAAGCTCTCGCAGGGCTGGATCCCTTTGTGGCAAACTGCGCCTTGGAGCTAGGCACCCCATAGCAACTTCGATCTTGGGTTGCCTCACTTTAGGCGAAACCTGGGCCCTCCACCACCAGCAGAGGAGCCAGCATGCCAGAGGGAAGCTTGGGGGAGCGAGGCAGAGCTGAGAGGCGGTAGGCCGCCTGCTGCCTGGGATTGCCACCTCCACGCTGCTCTCCTCCCTCCCTCGGTGTTTGGACAAGCTCTTGAGTGTGGGCTTCTGGGGCAGTGGGGGTGGGGGGGTGGGGTTGGGGCAAATTGGCATCTGAGCATTCCATGGGCAGACTCACCTGGGTACATGCACACCACCTCAGCTCCAGGGACCAGGGCATGGGACACATATTCCTCCAGCAGTGTGGGGGTGGTCCCTTTCCCTCTGTTCGGCAGTGCCAAGGGGGCACCTGTCCCATGAGCTCCAGTCACCCTACCCTCATCTAGGGCACTCCTTCCTGCTTGTAGGCATGGCTGACCTCCCCTGTCTCAGAGCCCTGCAGCTGGCGCTGCGTGGCACCTCAGCCCCTGCCAACCCAACTCTCCTGCCCTTTGGGTAAAGGGCAGGAGTGAGTTCCAGAGGCAGTGCAGGTGGCACCTCTGGTTTTGAACTGCGTGACTCCAGGCGGATCCTCTAACTTCTTTGAGCATTGCTCTGCTCATCCATCAAATGGACGTGGTCATGTTGAGCATCCAGGTGCTCTCAGAAAAGCCATTTGGGCCCAAAGCACTGAGACCTCACTCACTGATCAGTGAGCAGAGCAGGCAGGCCCATTGAGGGTCTCCTGATTTGGCCTCCAGGGCCCAGGTACCACACTTGTAGCTTGGCCAGGGGGGCTGGAGTCGTGGCCCCTGTCAGGGAAAGGAGAAGGGTAGCTGACACCCCCATATGCCTTTCCCAAGGGCCCTGGGCCAAGACTGTCCACCTCCTATTAGTGTCCCCTGTCCCACACCTGAGCTCAACCTTTGTGTTCTGATCCCTGTCCTATCCCCACTGCGTCCACAGCCAGCACCTACCCATCTGCCCCAAGTTTCACACCATGTCTTTCTCTCCACAGAATTGGCTTCAAAGTCAAAGAAGAAGGGGCACCCTGGGCGGGAGCAGAAGAAGGTACGTGGGCTCCTGTGGGCTCCCAGGTGTGGCCCAGGTGGGCCAGACTTGCCTGACATCAGCTTGTCTGTCTGTCTGCCTGCAGCACCACCACCACCAGATGCAGCAGACCCCTGCTCCTGTGCCCCAGCAGCCCCCACCTCCATCTCAGCAGCCCCCACCACCGCCCACACCTCAGCAGCAGCCACCGGTTCCACCACCCCCACCAACCCTGCCACAGCAGGCAGCTCAGGCGCTCAAGGCCTCCCCGCCACCCTTCATCGCCACCCAGGTGCCCGTGTTGGAGCCCCCGCTCCCGGGTAGTGTCTTCGACCCCCTTGGCCACTTTACCCAGCCCATTCTGCACCTGCAGTCCCCTGAGCTGCCGCCGCACCTGCCCCCACCACCTGAGCACAGCACTCCGCCACACCTCAACCAGCATGCCGTGGTCTCCCCTCCAGGTGAGCCCAGTAGTGGCGAGGCAGCCAGCCTTGGTTTTCTCTTCTTTTCAGTGGGCTTACTGGCTTCTCAAGGTCACTGGATACTAAATGGTAAAAGTGTGTTCCATGCGAGACTGTGTGTGTGAAGGCCTCAAGCCCTCAGGACTACCACCAGTCTCATGTAGAACATGATCACTGAGTTTTGGGACAATGCCATGCACCGGGTGTAAAGGGAAGTGGCTTTTTCTGCTGCTTGTGGAGGGAGACCAGGGGCTGGTGATAGTGAGAGCTGAGGGGTGGGTAGGTAGGAGGAGAATGGCACATGCGGGGGCCTTGTCTTCATTTTGAATATGGGAGTGAGATGGGCTGACTGCAGGCTGGAGGACAGCTATGGGAGGCCACCCGAGTCCCCGCAGCTGAGGAGGGAGTGGGCAGGAGTATGAGCCTCAAGGTTACTGTCTTTCTCTCTAGCTTTGCACAACGCTCTGCCCCAGCAGCCCTCTCGGCCCAGCAACCGCGCTGCTGCCCTGCCCCCCAAGTCGGCCCGGCCCCCGGCCGTAGCGCCCACCCTGGCCCAGCCAGCCCTACTCCCACAGCCCCCCATGGCCCAGCCCCCACAGGTGCTGCTGGAGGAGGAGGAGCCACCCGCCCCGCCCCTCACCTCCATGCAGATGCAGCTGTACCTGCATCAGCTGCAGAAAGTGCAGCCACCAACCCCACTACTCCCTTCCGTGAAGGTGCAGTCCCAGCCGCCCCCGTCCCTGCCGCCCCCACCCCACCC